ATAATAGCCCTATCCGAAGAGCTATAGTCACCAACAAAATTAAAATACCACAAGAATGCCATTTGCTGGGAGATTGTGCCTATCCTTTGGAAACTTATTTAATAGTGCCTTACAAAGACAACGGCCATTTTTCGGAAGAGCAGAAAAGATTCAACTACGTGCTGAGCTCTACAAGGGTTTTTGTGGAACAGGCGTTTGGAGTTTTAAAGAAAAAATTTCGTATTTTAAATTACTTAGAACTACAAAACCTAGCTCTGGCAAAGCAAATCATTATGGCATGCATGGTACTGCACAATGTGATCATAGACAATGAGAACGTTACTCAAGATATGGAGATTATAGAGGAACGTAACACAAATTCAGACCTTGCTGCAGAAGAGTATTCGCATTCACAAAAAGAGGAAGCTAGAAGGAAACGAAGTAGATTGACGACGCTTCTTTCAGCTTAGATATACAGTGGCGGTCAAAAATGGATGAATGGTGTTTCGTTTTTAATATTTACAATGTTTTTCAAGCTAAAATTTTTTTGATATTATTTTATAAAAATATTATTCATGCTTTAACAAAAACCATTAAATCAGACTTTCAAACTATACAGAATTTAGAAAAAATCCACAAATTTTTGTCTAAATTTCGAGCTTTTTAGCCAGAATTTTCTTAAATTTTTTAAGTTTGCAGTTAACAGGATTATAAAATTTTAGTAAAATTAGTGCAAGTTTTAAGCGGCTCAAAAATCGTATTGATTTTTAATATTTTATTTTTTTGTTGACGGCCTTTTGCACCGAAAAACCGAAATTTAAATTCTGTATAAAGTTTGAAAGTCTGATTTATATGGTTTTTGTTAAAGCATGAATAATATTTTTATAAAATAATATCAAAAAAATTTTAGCTTGAAAAACATTGTAAATATTAAAAACGAAACACCATTCATCCATTTTTGACCGCCACTGTACACCTATGGCCAAAATAATAGAAACACGAGATTTCGACTAATTTTTACTATTTTTCTGTTGCTTGTTTAAAGTTCATTAATTTTTTATAAAAGTGTAGTATTTTTTTATAAAAGTATTATATAACAAAGACTTTTTTATATACTTTTATTAAAAATTAATTAATTTTAAACAAACAAAAGAAAAATAGTAATGGCCGAAATGTCGTGTTTCTATTATTTTGGCCATAGCTGTTCACACATACACATGTACAAACGAAAGTATAGTTAAAAACCAGCAAATTTCATTCAATAAATAAAAAAATTTTATTCAATCTGTGGTTGGTATTACAAATACATATGCATTGAAGTAATATGTATGCCTTTGAATTGGTAGGATTACACAAGTTAAAATTTGTGCTTATACCTTTGTTTCAAAAACAAATTCATTAATAGGTACATTAAATACTCACATACATATGTGCATAAGTGCACAGGTGTGTTTATAAAAATAACATAAAACCTGTTGACTAGTTAACTTCTAATAGCGCAAATTATTTCAGTTTAATTCGTTTTATGTACTTTTTTATGTACGTTTTTAGGTACAGTTGTAGTTATAAAAAATTAACAATATATAACTTTTCTCAAAATAATACCACCTCAACATTTTGACTAGATTTGACTATTTTTTATTTAATGTTCATAAAATGTGTATAAAAGTATAGCTCATTTGTAACAAAAACTGGAAGTTCTAATGAAAAAGCCTGTTTTTTAATTTTTGTACAAAGTTTGAAATTTGTTTTTTGTTATATAATGAGATCTACTTTTATAAACAGTTTATGAACATTAAATAAACAATAGAAAAATAATCCAAACTTGTCAAAATGTTGAGGTGCTATTATTTTGACAAGCGCTTTGCATGGTAAACTATAAAGAACGTAAATTATTTCAGAAAGAATTATTTTCATTCATTCATGTATGTTATTAAAAAAATGTATAAATCCTACTTGTTATTTACCAAACCGCCCAACAAAAAACGCAAATTGCGCATTTCTTCCAATTTCTCTTTTTCCACCTCTAGCTTTCTTTCTTCCAGATCCATAAAATTTTTCAGCGTTTCTTTGTCACTATCAGCCTCTTTTTGTAAAAATTCTAGAACTTCGTTTTTCATTTTTTTAGCTTTTGGTTCCGGTGATGAAGTATCGGGTTCTTTTTCATATTCACTATTCTCGTTTGTCCCAGAAAGTATTTCAATCAG